ACCAAAAAATCATCATCCATAATAAGTGCTTGAGAATTATTTTAGTTATCGACGCAATAAAATCTATTTCGAATAACCGTGTTAGCTGTTCGTTCTTTCGTTGTTCACCTATATCGCTCAACAGTTATAAAGCCATAAGATGAGAATAACTGTAAACGGCGAACTTTTTTCTTATCAAGACTATACTTACTTCATGAAATAGCTCAGTAAGAGAAAATTCTATCAATGTTCTCAACTTCATCTCTTAGGGTGACACACCGCATTTACTCTTAATCTCTTATCGATTGACAATGTCGTTCTTTGCTATTCTTACTATTACAGTCGCTTCTCAGAAATATGTTTTCGCTGTGATATAAAAAATGCTATATCATTGTTATTCAACCTTATTGATACACCTTTTTTGCACAGGAGTGTTGATTTCGTGCTATTATCTGGAATTTGATAAAGCCTACTCTCAACAATCAACAAATTGTGTCATTCTTCGATTTCTGCTCAAACTTTTTCTCCACAAATGAAAGCACCTAATGCCGTGTGCTAACACGTCGCTTTCTACGACAAACATGAAAAGAAAAAATACGCATCAGTTTTTATCTAATTTGATTGAATATTAATTGATTTTGACAAGAAATTCGTGCTAGAAAGTTTCGACTAACTTACTAACATCACAAGATAGTACTAATTTAACGTTAACGTACGTTCCATGAGAGTGTGAGTGCCTTTCCCAAAGATCCCTTCTAATGGTTTTTTACGTAACAGCATTTTATATTATTTATAATGAGAATGCATTCAAAATTGTGTGGATCAAGGTGTATGTTGGGTGTCAATGTGTTTCATTTTTTGACTCATAGCTACCCTATACTTACACTCGCATGCAAATTCTAAAATAAGATTGAAATGAAAGTAATTTCATCATGTAAAATATACTACTTTATTCATAGAGTAAAATTTTACCCTAATTAGATGTATTTTGAGCATTCTCTTTCTTTCTCTCGAAAGGTTTCTCTTTTAGACGAAAACAAGTTTATAAAAAAACAAAGGCAGTAAGTTTTCATGATTGACAAGAGGTCTTGAAATGGGATTTTTTTTCCCATTTATACACTTTAGTAAGTCAAGTTGCTAAATGTCGATATACGAATGACGAAAAAAAAAGACTTGCTTTTTGAAACGTTCTTTGCTAGAAAATTTCAAATAGGGCAAAATTGAAACAGAACTGTTCTGTGATTTCTTTGAAGATAATTATAAACGAGAGTTAACATTAGTTTTATGCAGATAAAAATAGCGAGAAATATAAAATATTACTTAAATCGTTCTTCGTAGTTTATACAGTGAACAAGGAATACTTTCTAGCTAGATAGTAGAATAAAATGTTTTGTTTCTTTTTTTTTTCTATATAAAGATAACACAACGACATATTATCAATACTTCTTATTTTCTATTTCAAATAATTAAAAACTAGAACGACGAAAAATTTCAGTTTCATCGATGGTCGGGCATTGACCAGCTTTAATAAATCTTTAAAGTTCCAGAAAACCTAAAATTCATTCTTTTATTCGAATTTATTGAAGATAAAATATCTATTGAATAAGAATGAAATGTATCAATCGTTTGAAAGAAAAACATGAAAATATGACAATTTAGGATGTGGATGTGGGTGTCAATGTGGATGTGTGAGCGTAAGTGTGAATCATGGGTGAAGAGAAGACCGTCAGCCATGCTTGCAGCACACCACACCCGTATTCACACTCACAGCCATAGGAAGAGTCAAATCACCAGCTACACTCCAGATCCAGATATATACGCATGCCTTCAAGGTTCTCGTTAAAATGTTTCCGTTGGATTGTATCGATTGACGCAAATGCTTGAAGTTTCTCTATCTTACAGGCTTTGGTTCTCAAAATAAACTTTCAGTTATCATGGAATCAATTTTAACATACAGTATTTTTCATAATATTGACATTCGATTTAAGCGCAGTTATATCACTTAGGAGTGAAGCTAAAAGGCATGAATTTGATATGTAATTGTGATTTTTGACTCAACTAATTTCTTTTCCAAGAATTGATAAAGTGATGACTCGATTATAAAGGCGTTCTTTGCATATAGATTCGTCATCGTCTCTTATTCGTGCTATTTTATTGTCGAAAAATGAAAATGTACATTATGTTAATAACGCTATTGATGGGCAGTATAGCAGCTTCACCGATAACTCAAATGGTTGGAATCTGCAAGAAAATCATCAAATTCGCAGATGTCAGAGATTCTTTCGTCCTGCATTATGAGCCAAGACCAGACAATATGCCTCTTATTGAAGCACACCTCGTTGTTAACACAAGCGCATGTGGTTTCAAAGAAGAACCACTCTATATTGTACAAGACCACACTAACCGGGATTATGACGAAATACGGATAAGATATGTAGATGGTGGATTTACACGTGAGGCAACGTATAATGCAACCGCAACTAGTTTCTCAGTGTTTTACACAATAAATTTTGAAATTATTGGAGAAACGGACAATTACATCCAAGCTTTATATAATAGGTGATTGAGCAAGCTTGTCAAAAGACAATGGGAATTACGTTGGATCGGAATCGGACTGTAAAAGGAAGTTAATGGAATGTTATCTGTTTTACAGTATTAAAGAAAAAAAAAGAAATACTTAGAATACAGAAACAAATAAACAAAACATTGACACTCACTCTTCCAGTATCACTCACTTTAGAAATATCCCCATCTTGAATGCAAGAGACACCTACCACTATTGCAATGTCAGCATAAAGAAGACTATAGGTAGGTATCAGAGACTGGAATCGAATCGAATCGAATTGCATTTAACTCTCTTTATCCGACTCAGCAATAATCCTTTCATTAAGTCGCAACCGTAAATAATAAGGTTCACTTCCGTGGTGAGGCCCATGTTCTCTGTATCTTGTGCTTTTGCAAACTGTATCGATCTCTTTGTGTGATAATTCTATTAGGTCAACTATTCCTTGTCTTTTACTTTAAAAAGTCAGTTTCCATTGCTTTGCTTTAAGATAAATAATTGTAGAGGAAGCAAACCCATGTGCAACTGTTGTCATAACTCGTGTTTTTTCGACATTTCTATTAAGGATTTCTAGTCTTTTTTTAAAAGTATTTAAAGCTGTTGATGTTTTGCATCCTTTTAGTCGATAAATAGAAAGAGTTCTATTATTATCATGCTGGATGTTTGCTTCTTCGATTACATGATGGGCAACACAGTTATAAGTAAATGTGAATTTGACGATTTATTACTCTGCTACATATCCTGATTTGCTAATTGATATGACAACTGACTTTGTAAAACTTGACTGAAAAAATAAAAAGCGCAGTTTTCTAATTAATAGGTTATGAAACTGATCCATTCCAGTTTATGAATTACCAACTGCAGTGCATATCCGGGAATACAGATAGACTTCGATTGAAATAATAAGTTTGTATACTCATGTTCACAATATCTGCGTCTTCCTACAAGCAAATGATAGGAATGGGTATGGGCTTGATAGCGTCGTGTTACATAAGTAGACATAGGGTCATTAACTCGGAGAATAAAAAGAAGCGGAATGAACAATAGAACTTGTAATACGCTCAATGGTTTTCTTCCTATTGTTTCATTCTACTTTAGCGAAATCTCTGTTATATTCAACGTCAGCAACCTCAGAGATAAAAATCAAACAGTAAGAACTCGTATCAAACCAAGAAAAGCTAACACTTGTCTGCCATCAATGTCTACACGCGAAAGAAACAAAAAACGAACTCGAAAATAAGTTTTATTTGGTTGGCTGCAGTTTCACATGATTTCGTTTCCCTTCTTGGGGTGTGGGCGAGGAAGTAAGTCCATAGCGCATCTAGGTTCATATCAGCACTCAGATCCGCCACGCCCACAATCGCAGCCAAAACAATTTTTCATCACAGCATTAAAAAAAGAAACATATCGAGAAATATATATATGAACACTAGCACAAAAGTTCTTACTCCCTCTGAGCAGTTGACTTATCTCAAAATCTGGTTCTTTGGAAGCCCTTTATATACTCTTCGGAGATCTTTTTTACTAATCTAAATGAAATCAGCACATTGAGAAACAAATAAAAAATCATTTTCTCACGAATATGGATATATTCTCGTGCATTCAGATTTTCTAAGACTTCGAGTTTTACGGACAGCGGCATCAAAGCATACCCGAGCTGGGGAAATATTTCAATGGAAAGAACATATTGGAAAATCTACAAAACTGTTTCTGTAAACTATCATATTAATAATAGAACATATGTTTTTAGCGTGACAGCAATTCTTGCAGGAACACTGTGAGTATAACTTTTTGGCAATATCTATTCACTTGAAAAATCGGTATGCTAGTAAGCGACTGTACGATATGACACATGATCATGGTCATAAGTGTTAGCCAACTGATTATATATTGGGGTAGCCATTAAACACAAAAACAATTGAATTTTTATGTAGTAGGGAGCACGTTCCTTATCAATCTAAAGCTATAGATAGAGGAAAAGTAGGTGGAAATCATACATATGCGAGAGATACAAAATTGTGTCTTGATAGTCAGTGCATAACTGTTATAGGCTATCAGAAAAAAGACACAATCGTTCGGCAATTCGTAATTATTATCACTACAAATTGTTGACAGCCTTAATTAGGCGATGAGCTGCTTAATTCCTTTTGAAGAGTCACTCCACATTGCGTTCAGATCGACATGCAATAGTATTTCAGCTCAAGTTTTAGAATAAAAAGTACTTTGAACATTCGCATAACTTCACTGAGAATACACCAGCTTTTCGTCGGTTCGGTTGAAAACTTAAACTGACAGACCTTGACCTATATGAATTATCTCACTCAGTTCAATCTCTAGCCTGATCGATGAGCCCTACGAAAACAACAAACCTATCCATCAAGATAAACCGATATAAAGGTGGGAGTCTAATGAAAAAAAAATCGTTTTTATTTAGTCTACGCTTCATCAAGCGATGTTCTTAGTCTGCATCGTTGTTCTCGTTTTCCATATCAGACTCGTAATCATCACTGTCATTATCGTTTTCTTCTCCTTCCTGTTCCACTTTGACCGTGGCTTCAGTCAATTGTTTTTCGATTTCTTTTAGTAACCGTTGCAAGTCGACAGTTCCTGGTTTTCCATCACGAGCCATTTGCGCGCGTAGTTTTATAGCTGCTTGACATTGTAGAGTTGCTTCCTCCAAATAATCTACAGCGTCTGATGCTGACACACCTGGTCGTTCACTCGCTTGAATATAGTAGCGACTGAGTTGCTCGTGACTGGTCACCAAACGCAGCATATATTCATTGGCATTCTCTTGTAATCTTTGTAGTTCATTGAAGACCTGCTCAATCGTTGTCTCTTCATCGTAAATGAGACATTTTACCGATGTCGAGTAGAAAGTTTCGCATTCGCTAAGAATCCATTCCCAGTAGGCTACTGCACCTGGATAATCATTGATTAATATCAATGTATCGCCTAGACATAGTGATCGGTCATTTAGTTCGACCATTCCATCTTCAAGTGTAGGTAGGAAGAATTCGTCAGCCAAAGTACTGGGAATTTCTTCATCGTCACATCGTTCATTATATTCATTGATGAAATCACGTATCCATTGACTTAAAAGTCGTTGATCAAAAACAGTAAGATGATCTTGACGTGTTTTATAATCACCGTCTTTGGCTATTTGTTCAATGAAGGTTTTACCCGTATCGTCTGGATATCGTAAGTCTCTATAGATTCGCAACATGGCATAATGGCATGCGACTCTGAGTGTCGGTGAAAATTCAGTAGCGTTTCCTAATGCTTTTGAGCATGCATTGATCGCAGTATCTATTGGATCAGAGGAATCATCACCTTCATATTGCTCGTGACGATATGCTGCACACATTTGCAACCATAGGCGTGTTCCATCAGTGGGTGAAAAAAGTATATATTCCGACAACAGTGCAGTTGGATCTGAAAACTCATTGTTCTTGAGTTTTTCGATGAATTTGGTCAATCGAGCGTCTACCGCAGATGCGTCGCCACATTGTAAATTCAATGTGTATGATTTATAATATTTTTCAATAGCTTCGTTATATTCTCCATTCCTTTTTAACGCATGCGCCCAATGTATATAGGCATCACTCAATTTACGCATGGCGACCTTTTCATCCTCGACAACTTCATATGGACGTATATGTTCTGCACATGCACAAAGGATTTCGGCCAGGATTTTTGCGTAAATGCGCTGTTCTGATCCAGCGTCGTCGTAGCTCGGAACCTCGAATTCGAGAGTCATGTCCGATTCTGAAGATTCATTGATAAGAGTTTGACAGTACATGATCAGACCCTGTGAATCATCCAGCCGTTCATAAGCGTCGGCCTTGTTGTAAAGATCGTCGTCTGAAAAAGATCGAATCAGCTTGGAACAAATAAATGTTCAGCATTCTCTACATGTCAAGGACAAAATCTGAATTTTTCTTGAACAAAGCGAGAACAATGAAATTTTAGAAGGATCAACTTTAAAATTAATAGATTTCTAGTTCTTTTACTTTAGTTTTGAAGATTTTACCTTTATTCTACTGCTTCCATGGCACATATATCCATAGAAACTTGATCGGCTCAAGAAAAAAAACTAGGAGCTTTTCGCAAGTTCGAAATAAGTTATTTTGACCCATCGGATGGATGTGAATGAATACGATACGTTTTTGCATTATAAAGTCTTCTGGCTCTTCACGTCGAGAATATGACTTTCAATGAAAAAAATAGGGGCAAACCTCCAGCAAACCACCTACCGCTGAGTTGTTCAGATGCTGGCATGTTACTTTCGGCAATCTCATTGTTAGTCTCATCATTTTGGTTGTCACTTGGTTCTTGTATTGCATTATGATCTTCGTCGTGACTTGATTCTTGATTTGAAGAACATTTTTCATGCACGATAGCTTTTACATTTGCATCATCGTCAGCAATTAATTTGTATGCATTGTTATAAAATATTGCAGCCGCAGCAGAATCCTCCTTCCAATCTTCAGTCAATCGACCTAACGCGTAGTAAGTACTAATGGCTGCTTCAGGTTCTAATGATTCATTTACTGCCTCTTGATAATAATTAATTGCAGTTTCTTCATCTCTTTGGTTTTGTTCGTAGTAGCGACCAATCTTTCGATTAATTTCTCCTCCATGAGAATCAGTATATCGAAGTAATTTAATTTCAATTGCTAATGCTTTCTTGTACGTAGTCTCTGCCTCGTCAGATTCATCTAACGCCATTGTATCTGCTAGACGTTCGTTATAAAATGCCAGCTGTTTAAGACGTTCTACAAGCGGCAACATATGTAGCTGCTGAATCGGTGTATCGAATGGATAGAGTTCCTCGAGAATTTCAATAGATGTTGAATACTTTTCGATAGCAGTAGTCCAATCTCTTCCACGTGCGTCAGCTTCGGCCGTATCTAATCCTGCTCGACATGCATAAACTGCAGCTAAATGTTGATTCATACTTACACGAGCTAGCAATCTTCTTTGATCACTTCGGTTGTTGTTATTTGTAGTTTCATCATAATTATCTTCGTTAATGTCATTTTCTGCAAAATCGTACTTGTCATTCGCTTGATCGAGTTGATGCATCATACAATATACATCACCCATATGATAATAGGCAAGCTTAATATCTAGATGATCAGTTGCCAAATTCAGGCGTTGAATTTCAATGGCCTTTTCAAATGATTTTATGGCATTTGAATATTGCTCACGAGCAACAAAAACTTGAGCTAAAAGCAGATGGTTCTTTGTGAGACTCGGATGATAGTGTGAAAGTGAACGCATTTTGAGTGGAATTGAATTCTTGTCGGCATAAGTGATAGCAGTGGGATATTTACTCTGTCTTAAACAGTAATTGGCTAACATGTCGTAAACAATCACCTTCAAACTAATATGGGTAATATCAGTATCGCTGATATTAAGAGTTGTTTCAAGTTGTTTTAGATCATCAATGGCTTTTGTGTAATCTTTACAGCACTTGATTTTTGCCAGTGAAACTTCAATCAACAACGGCTGATCATTTATTGGTTGGATTTCCTTGAGGGCGTGTGTGAATGCTTTTTCAGCCCTTTCTAGATCGTGCGTTACTTCAAACATTTCAGCAAGTAAGAGACTTGCATGAAACTTGTCATTTTCTTTCATAGCTTCTTTGAAATATTTGATAGCATCAGTGTAGAGTTGCCGTTTGAAGCACATAAATCCACGTGAAAAATTGATACTTGGCCAAGCCTGCTCTGTTTGCTTTGCACTATGAATATAAAAATCAACTGCTCACTATTATTTTTCGAAATAGTCAATTCTCCCATCATTAGATAATATCTATTGCATGACATGCGATCATTTGTTCGAAAACAAAAATGAACACCATCTATATATATCATCGATGTTAATATTCATTGGAGTTAACTGTATGGCAAGCATGGTAGAGCGATCGGCAGAGTCTGACTTCTCATTCTCCTGACTAGTATACGATTAGACAGGTCTCGATAATCATGAAAGTAGTTGTGCGAATTTCATTTTCTAGCTCCCACACTTATAGTAGAAGTTATTCAGACTTGTACTGCGTGTCACGAGATCTGTATCGAATTCTCATTACCTAAAGCAAGTATTTCTTTTTCAAGCGCTCTTTCTCGCATGTTTCGCAGCTAGAAAATAATCATCGGCATTAGAAGACATACGATTATGTTTAAAGTTTGTCAAGACATTGTTTTTTTATGGAAAGTTAGTATGTGCACTTACCTTTTAGCTCTTCCTGATAATATTCGTTCTTGCTTTAGAAGAGCTTCATCATTTGTAGGCATCTGTACTTGCTCAGACATGAAATATGTATAAGATTTGTTATAAGCAATGTCAATAAGTTTTCTCGACCATTGTAACGTTGGAGTTTCAGTAGATGAAAGTAACTGAACTAATTTCGCCTTTCGCTCGAGTTCGTACGCTCGAATCCAAATGGACATTGCTTTGAAGAATCGTTGTGTGTATTGTATATAACAAGCTCCAACAATTTGAATGAGAATAATTAGATCTTCTAGTGTCACCATTTTGTCCAAAGCAAATAAATTTTCTGCTTGTTTTTTTATAAGACCGTTGAATGTTGTATCCTCATATAGTTCAATCACTTTTTCATAAGCACGATGATGAGCGTGCTCCATCATGATATTCATGTATGCACGCATCAATTTTGGGTCTCCTTCAGGCAAATTATTCTTATATATTTTTAGCGCTTCATTATAACGTTCCTGAGCATCAGCAGCCTTCTTGACACTGAGTAAATGGCCATAATTTGAGTAGCATTCAGCTTTGAGTAATTCACGTTCGATTGCATCATGTGTAATCTTACTTGTCGACTTTTGGTACATTCTAATAGCTTTTTCAAAATAATTTTCGGATTCTTCGAGATTTTGTTCGGCACCGTTCTTGGCATAATGAACATAAGCAATATTGCCATAGATCGAGGCTAGATAAAGACGTGTACTCAAGGGCTCACGTAATTGAATGCGTTCGGCTTCTTCAAACGTCGCCTGCGCTTCATTCATGAGTTTAAGTCCAATATATGAGAGACCAATATTGTTATAAATTTCTGCCAAAGCATTATTATTGGAATATCCTATTCGAGCTTGACAATCCAACGCTTTCTTGTAATACTCAATGGCGTCGGCATAAAGACGTTGACGAGAAAATGTCATACCTAAACAATTGTAAATACTGGGCAACGTAGGATCATCTTTAAGTATGCCAGTGCTTTCGGAGCAGAGTCCTGTGAGATACTTTCGTACTGCACGATACTCTCCCAATTCGAGCATGTAGCGTGCTAGTAAAACAGATAATTGTGAAGCGGAACATTCTTGTACTTTAGCACGGATATCATCAAGCAAAGATTTGTCAATATCACATGCAGTTGTATGCACAGTGTAGTAGTTTACTTCGTCTTTTGAAGCATCTGCACTTGTGGCTTTATCTACCTAAAAATGTAGTTTGAATGCATTAAAAGGATGGCAGGAAGAGCAGAATTCAACCAGAGTTCTAATTCGTTTATTGTTGGCTGAATCCTGTCTTTTGATAGTACTGTATAACAAGTGCACTATTTTTATCATGAAATTTGTCATTTTAGTTTTGAGCAAACTCCTCGATGTATATAAAAATGCAATTTTTATCTTCAGCAAAGTTAAAAAACTTTGTATACCAGTATGGAACAAATATCGACCGGCACATTGTATTCTGAACACTATGACTTGCCTCAACAAACTATTGACTCAGATGTCTAGTTATTTACGATTGTGAATATTAATATAACTGACTAATACTGCTAGAAAAGCGCAATTCTGAGCGGACTTTTTATCGGAATACAAAATAATATGCATAGGATGAATCGAAATACTGTTAAGGAATCACGTCTCCGACTGAATTCTTATGTAAAAACAATATTATAAGCAGAATTTTGACTAGTATGAAAAGATAAATAATACCTATGTATGTCATAGAATTCTTGAGTTCTTCCACTGTTGCCTGATTCCAAATATAATATTTATATTACGTCATTATTACATTTTTGTGGAAAAAACTAAGATTGAAAAGTAGAATTCTAGTCTTTTAACGCATTATTTAGAAAAAAAGGCTTTCACAGTAATTAAGCTGCATTATGATAAAATTCCATGGTAGCTTTTTTCTACAATGAATGGGAAATCTAATGATATCTAAATTGGTGATCCATCTAGTGACCTACACAACCAAATAGGTTTACAAAAAAAAAACTGTTTTTAACCCAATTTTTGGACTCCGAATAACAAAATATAAATTTGACTTTTCTAATTGGAAATCCCAAGTGCGAGACTTCAACATTGTCGAAAAGATTTGTTTTTTTCTTAGTTTTCCAGTCTTTCGAGTTTTTTGAACTGCTTCACATGAAAAAAAGATGATGAAAAATAAATCCTTCCATCGTGCTAGCTTTCCCAACAGAATCATGTTTCTCATAAGACCAAAGAAACTCCTAATATTGAAGAAAACCTATATGTCGGTATAAATTCCATTTCAGATTTGAAGGTACGACTTTTCACATATTGGGTACTACGAATAGAAATAGTAGAATATATCTGACGAACATTTACCTGCTGGTCTTTCTCAGAAGATCCGGGATTCTCGATTTTGTCCACTGAGAACGTTGAACCCATGCTGAACAGGGTTTCTTCCTCTTCAGGATGAAATGACATATGTCCAATGTAGGCGTGAGCGGCACACGGTTTATCAGGTACGACTGAAATTTTGAAAAGAACACGGACGTTTCCAGAAGATAAAGATTGGGTTCGAGCATATCGTTTAGCAATGTCCAAATTGGTTGTTGTCGATGTGAAACCGCTCATAGAAATTAGTTGTCCTTTCTTTTTTTCTTCAAGCGATTTTTTCATTTGTTCGAGTCGATCAAAAGATATTGAGGCAGCGCGATAAAATGTATTCCCTTTGCTCGCTTGTGATTGCTCGTTGTTGTACAAATACTCAATCATTTTGCACAAATCACTAATGTAATAACGGTACGACATGAGTAGTTCGAAACTTTCAAGCTTTAAAATACTATTGATTTGGTAGTAGATTGATGCTTCATTGCATGAATACCACCAAATCGCATTATGAAAATTCGGCTCGTCGTTTCCTCTCTTCATTGGTTTAAGTTCAGCCTAGATTATAAAAATATAGAATAGTGTATAATTATGTATTCGTCGAACTCACTTTTTGAGCCGACGTTCGAAGTTCATTTCGCATATATGAAACTTTGAAAACTTCAGCATAGAGTTTCTTCATATCCCATTCTTGTCGTATTTTGAGTTGACTCTTTGCTTCTTTGGGAAGTGCGCGAAGTGCTTTACGAATAGTATCGATTGCATCTTTGGAACCAACTGGTTTTTTCAAATGAACGGCAATATCATTTACATTTTGCTGGAGTAATTGGATATTCGATATCAATTGGTTTGTGGATGCACAAAGATTAGTAAGAACTGTAGTGTTCACATTTTTATCGGCAAGAAGTGCGTCTGCATTGCGCAATTGCTTTATAGACTCTTCGATTTTCTGAATTAGACCACGCTCTTCGAGATCTTCAGGTGTAGAACCACTCTAAAGTATGCTATAGCCTTTGCATATATTACACCAGAATATTTAAAGATACCCCTATACATAATCTGCGAGATCCGAAGTGCTGCAGAATTCTTACCAATGAAATTTAGAATTCTCAAAATAAGTGATTGATAAGCACTGAACAAGCTTTCTAATCAGAGTTCTATCACACACATCCGAATTCAAATTCAAATTCAATCCCACAGCCATCGAGACAAGTTATTCATCTTCCAGAAAAATTCTGCTAAGAACTCTAAGTCACCAGAAAATTGTTGACAGAATCCTATTGCATTGTACAGAAGTCATACTTCATAACGCAAGCAAGTAAAGACGATAGCACATGTAGCTTATTTTCATGTGTCTGCTCTAAGTAACACATTGGTGTCAGCACAAACTTCTGGGTGTGCATCAAACGTTCGTATGAATGAGCTTCCCATTGCGAACTGCTATATTTCCAATCTGAAACATAACTACAAAGCAGTAGTCAACAACACTAGGAGCCTTCTTCATCTAATAGCATTGGAGAACTATATCCACTCCATGAGAAATCTGACAATTACTACTATTCATCATAGCGCGTGTAATGAGACCAAAATACATCACAATATTGTTGATTCTTCAAAAGAATTCTGCACAGTATTAGTATATGAGGTGAGCCAAGAGACGAGTACAGAGTTCTGCTGAGAATTAAGAAAACATCAGCAAAACTTTGACAGAATATTCTATTACATTACATTTTACATAATACAAATCATTATGTACTATTTAATAAAGGTTCATGGCACTGACGTCAGTAGAATTCTGTTCGCCTTGCATTCAGTCACAGTGAGATCTACGAGCAGCTAATACATTTTGGCAAGTCTCCAGAATGCTAAATTCTGCTGAATCAGAACTCAGTAATCATCCGCACCTTCATGGCTTCATTTCAGTTATTTCGAAATAAATTCAATCCTCATGAAACTTTTTGCGACCATCCAATCAGAAACAATTCCTGAAAACGCACGAGTTCGTTAACAAAAAAAAAGAAATCGACTTAAGTTTTTATCAGAAGGACAGCGGTTTGTATAATGTGAAGTCTTAGAGCAAATTTCGACATGAATCACTAACAATCATACAAAACTCGTCTATATGACGGGAAGTCAAACTACCTAGTGTGTTCTTCAATGCATAACACTCTAGAGTTCTGCAGGAACGCCTTTCTCCCGTCCCGCTTCCCGCGAGAATCAGGAACGGAAAAGATATAAAAAATATGTATTCCCGAAAATCCCATTCTACTAATTTTATACGCCCTAAGGTATGTTCGTGCAACTAACCTTTATTTTCAATGATTATTTTCATACATAATTAAAAAAAAAAGCAAATATCAATCAACAAAATTATATGAATCTAATCTGTGTTCATTAAATCGCACATTATAGCAACGATCATCTTCGTTATTATTATCATGGAAAGTACGATCATCAAGATTAGTTTACAATCCATTAATATTATCATTTTTCTCTTGTGAAATTTTGACTTTTTTCATTGTCGTTGTAGAGGTGTAACTATTCATTCTTTTTCTTTATTACTTAACTGATGGTGAAACTAATTCTATTAATGTTGGTGAATTTCAACGCCTAAATAATAACTGATTTACTTTACTTCTATGCAAACGTGCATGACGACTTCCTATCCTATCTCTACTGTTCGAAAAGGGACGGTCTAAGGATAGATTAGTTGCCGGAATACACATCAGTCATTGAGCTATTGTAGTTATTATAGAGTAAAATATTTATTATTGCTTCAATATATTGATACATTCATGTCTTTCTCCACGTTTATCTGATCTTCAATGCATTTGCTGAATTCAGTCTTTGTTGCTTTATCATCCTGTAACTTATCTGATCATATTTGCGCATACCTACACTCTCAAGATAATAATCAAAACAATTCAGATTGATAGTATCGACAATAGATAAATTCAATTTCAACCCATGCAAAAGAATTTCTTCAAAAATCATCAAATAATGGGTTTTTAATCGATTATAATCATACAATAAAAATTGAGTCTTTTAGCTGAAAATGATTTCCGTTTGGTTATTTCAGCTTAAGTGCTTGATAATAATTGTATGATTATTATCGATTTGAAACCGGTTATTTCGTGATTTTTGAAATTTTTTTACATGGGAGTATCGTTTACGATAACCTAGGTTGCATTCTGAAAAACGTGATGCTGCGAGAGGTTAATATCAGATAATGATAGCTTCTTGAAGTGTGAAAAATGAATTACTACAAGAAACTTTAAAAGTATTACTGGAAACGGGAACGAAAACGTCAAAAATGTACTCGGGAAAACCAATTGAGAACGGGAACAAAGATTTTATTCACGGAAACGGAAATACATTTTTTTTCCGGGAACGGGAAGGGGAACTAGAAACAGGAAGGAAAAAAGTTGTTTCCGCAGGACTCTATAACACTCATGTATTTTCCAAGATCCGCGGGATTCTGTTAGATGTGTTAATACTGGTTTGTTGAGATCCACGAAATTATGATATGTTCAAGTAAAAGATGACATCTTTTGATTTTAAGTAGCTACTTGTCAAACTGAACACACTTCATACCTTCTTCTTGATATTATTAAAGTCATTTCGTAAGTAGACATCGCAAGCGGCGAGCATATCAGCTCGTGCTAATGACATGTCAAAGTCTACGAATGATTCTTCAGTTGTGCCCATTAGCAAGAAAATCTCTTTGATACGTCGCAGCCAAAAGTAGGATCTAGAGTGTTCACTGACATCAGTTATTGCTTTTTTCGTGCCGTTAAAAATTTTTAATGGAAGTGAGTTATCTTGGTTGCTCGTGTCGTGGTTCACTTGTACTTGTACTAGTGTTGCTGCAGATTCATCAAATTTTCTGGCTGAATAGTCATTGTTCACTTTCGATTTTCGACGTTCACTACGATTGCTAATCAGAACAGCTTGTGGTTGTAACTGATCTTTGGTAATTCTATTTTCATGTTTATATTCCAAAAAAGTTTGTTTTGTTTTCAAGCTGTTGTTGTTGTTGGCAATTTGGGAAGATGTCGGTCTTGATAGGGATGGTGGCAGAGTTTTTCGGTGCTGAAGGCCGCCAGCACTGTAACGACCATCTCTTGTAGTCGACATGGTATTTACTGTTTATTAGAGAATGCTGAGATTTCACATCAGATTGTGCTGCAATGCTGCTCTAGTAGAATTTTCTTTTGACAATATTACTTGATTTCTTTTTTCATCTACTCGTCATTTTCTCTTTGACTCTCTACGTTTTCATTCATATATAGAAATTTCTTATTGTTTTGCGATGCATTATTAAATTTATTTTGATTACAATGCAGCACAAGTTTTTTTTTTCTGTTCCTCTGATTCCATCATGGTATTAAAAAAAAACACTGAATTGCCAATTTTCATTTTTTTCAGCCAATAATGCACACTACTAAGAGTAATTCAGCAATAGAAACAGCTACTTGAATCGTGTAGATTATATATTTTGCGAGTTTTTTTTGTAATATTTGTGTTGAATAATTGAATCGCAATCAATATTTACATTTTGAGGGTGTGAATTACAGAACGCCTTCACACCCACATTCGTTCAATGTCAGAAGAAAACCAGATAAATTAGATTAGAGTCTGATATTTCAGATTTTATATGATTCTAATCGATTAATTTCATTTTAATCATTATTGTAATTAAAACTCTTATAAAACTATTGCCATTTGAATTGACTAAAGTCTGCTTTTCACGGTTTCTTTTTTACATAAACCATATTCATTGAGAAAATACTTTTATTTTAAGTATATAAAACAGCTCATTCGAGAACAATATTTGCGTGAGATACCATCACATTCACTTTTTCTTTTTCTCTCTTCTCATTGCATCTACAAAGAATCAACAATCGTCCTTATGAAAATATACTTCTTTGCACATAAGTGCGTCCTTCATTTTTCCAATTTGCTATTTTTAGCATGGTATCATCATGAAGAGTGCTGGAGTGGGTCTTCTTTGCACGCATATCACCCACCCACACCCAACAATATCTTGAATTCAATGGATTACAAGATAAAATCAATAGATTTCTTTAAGAATAAGATGCAACAAAAGAACATATCAATTCAATTAATAATGCTATTCGATTATTTTAACAACAAATAAGTTAATTTCAACTCAATAAATTTATTTTTTTCTCCTCTAAATAAGTATAATGTTTAATCAAATAATACTCAGTAGTATTCGTTATAGGAAATGATCAAAATCATAAGAGATATTTTCGATTGTGCTCAGCAATAACACTTAAACCACTTTGACCAGTGAAAGGTGTATCTACGCTTGCACACCATAGTATTCGACGCTGTTGCCTAAGTAGCAATTAATGGATAGTAATAAAGTCAGAAACATCTACTTTTTTGCAAATTTCTTCAGATGAAAAAGTACTTCAAAAAAGAGAAATATAAAATTTCGTCTCATATAATCGAATTAAACACTAATTTACTTGCTATAGTGACAACAGAAAGTGTTAACCTTCATAAATTATCTTAATGTTTAATTTACTTTAAAAATATAATTCACTCAGTGATTTTTATTTTCAAGCCAGATATGTATAATTCTTCTTAGTTTGGAATAAAACATGATTATATAAATCTTTTTTCATTGTTATCGACAAAACTCTAGTTTGTTTTTTCGAATATATGTAAAGCTTTTAAAGGGACCTCACCCCTTTTTCAATCATGACTTCTTATCTTTAACAACTACCCAACTATCCTTCATCGAACAATATCGAAATGAAAATTTTTCACTTTAGAGACGTTATATATAAAAAAATGTACTCCAGTGGATCAAAGATGTCCACACCTAATCGATGCACTATAGTGTAGTTCCTGATAATTATATGTAGAAGCACTAAAAATCAGAACTCTAAAAAGAGAATAAAATTTTATATTTTTCTCAAAACCAACTTTTCAAGAAGAAAGTCGAAATATTCTTCTTTTCTCTTCAAGATATATAAACTAGAGTAAGATGCAACTTTTTCTAGATCGATTTCGATCGAATCGGAACGTTCATTTCTATCGTTACAAAGAAATATTGCTTCGTTGGATTTTGGCAAACTTTAGAAAATTTGAAGCAAGCAAAAAAAAACACATTCTTTTTGAGAACTTCTAGTATTTTGGTTCTCATGACCAAAGAATACTATACTTTTCGAAGAAAACAAACACGCATTTCGATTTGGTCCAAATTGTCACAAAAAAAAATCAGCAACAGAAAATGAAATTTGGGCTTTTGCGGGGGCACAACTCTTGATCATTGTTAAGTCCTGCAAACCCCACATCTTGCCGGAGGGACCATTCAAAAATGTACAAACCAGCACAACTTGAGAGTACAGGTGAAGTGTGAGCCTTTATGTCAGCCGTACTCATACATACCATTTATACATGTTCAACATTCTTTGATTAACTTTTCCTATTCGATTTCTATACCAATGAGTTGGTTTCAGTTGTATACAAAACTCGATGGCGCATCTTTCGGAAAAATAAGTCAATTTAAAGATTGAAGAGAAAAATAATTCTAGTCAAAGTACTAAAAGGACCATTATTTGTGAATCAACTGTTAATCTAATAAAAATGAAAAAGAAAGTTTCTGCACAATATCCTATGTCAAATACATATGATAAAAAATAAAATCATCTTAGAGTGATCAATTATGAACATATCATTGATAGTAACATAATTTGATTGCATATCTTAATGATGGAAAAAAGGAACTAAATTATTTCTCACTCTTTCTATCTATTCGCGTGATATTCCTTCATCCAACTGATGCAGAGTCGGTTAAGATGAAAATTTATGTTAAAATAGGCATTGTTTATACAGTTTTTATTTTGTCCCATGTGTTTAGTTTTTCCCGACTTGTAATATTTATTTTTTTCGAGAAGGTCTAATGAATTGAAGGTGTAAGGGAACTTTCGCACTTCTTTACTGAGAAAATCTTGCAACTAGACAAACAGAGATATTGTAAAAACTGACATGTCAGCACAACCTATCCAAAAAATCCGACGTTCTATTACACGACCTTTACAGATAATGCTATGTCGTTACTTTAGAGTGAGAAGAACATTTCAATAGAATGTTTAAGCAAGCTATATTGTGCCAATATGGTGTTGATGATCAACCATCGAGAGAATGTCGAAATATTTTATTTTCTCATACGTATAGTCTTTTTTGAGCTTATTATCATTTTCAGTGTTTTATGATCTACAATTAATTCAATACTGTTTTTTGTGCAGTAAACAGATCATATTTTCTCATCATTTTAGCTACAATATTACGACACTATATACAGACCTTATTTTTTAATCTGAAAGGACATATGGTAGAAACACAAGCTCATACGAAAAGTCGGAGTGTCATTAATCATCAAAGTCAATGAACATTCTCGAATAGTTAGGTTCTTTTTGTCATATTTTCAACATTTAGTTTTCTCTCTGGTATGCTTGACTATTTTTTTCGTTATTTTCTCTGAACTTTTCACAATTATTGATTCTAACAAAGTATACATAAAAAAGGTATTTCACTGGGCTTCTAAAGGACAACAACATGTCATTGTCTTTCTTGGCTCAAAATCGCACATTCAATCAATTATTATTTCATGAAAAATGCGATTGTTGATTATTAAAATGTTTCTATGTTACTATTAGAAGAGTATTGATTTACCGTAAATGAGTGCAATACTTTCCGGACAAAGATCTTATCACAATACCTATATATACTGTATTGATGTTTGTTTCAAAGCAAAGGATAATCAGTTCGTCCATGTTTCAAGCACAGCTCTATTGTGCGATTATAATTTTCTTCTACTGTTTGAAATTTCAGCGTGTGCTCCTTTCAAGCATTAATTAAATTAAACACTTAATAAACATTATTAAACAAAATTTTAATTCAATATCGAAGTAAACTATTTATCCCAAAGTAGCAAATCATCATCATAATATTGACTTGTTCACATTTTTGTTAAACATCTTCACAATTAAGCATTTTTTCTATGAAAGTTTACTTTGCAGAATTCGACAAAATGCATAGCTCTCATATTATTTTGCATGAAAAGTAAATTGCAAGTTTCGATCGTTTGTCGTTCGTATTAGTAGTTTTTCAATCACGGTTATTAAATAATGCAGAGTGTCGGTTCAGCTGAACTAAAGGCTTACACTCACACCTTACCATTTCCTAGAATAATCAATCATTATAATTGACTATTCTTTGATTCTCTAAACTTTATTAAGTAATACTTAAATGGTTCGTTGATTGTTGTTTGTTCATATATCGGCAAAAATAGGCTAAGTTACAACATGTGATAAGATTTTCTTTTCTTTTTTTCTGAGATGTCCTATGACTTTCTTTCATGTAATATCTGTTCTTAGATTTTTCGAATTATTTGCAAATTTTTTTGTAGGTGGACCAAGAAAACCAAGGCAAAAAGATAATTCGGTTATAACAATTCTATACATCATCCTATTCTATTTTTTTTTCAGTTTTTATTATACTATTTCGTATAGGTTTAAGCGATCGTTTATGCACTGTAAGTTTATTTGTGTATTTTATGTAAAATATAAGATGCATTCTCTAATTAAAAACGAAAAACACGAATAATATTTAACCAATTACAAGTTAATCACGATTAAAAGTTTTTAAAAAAAATTTGTTTGTTTTTGTTCACATGTCAACATATTATATTATTCTGATATGTTAGAAATATTTTCACCAATTCTCAATATCTGAAGTGTGAAGAAAAAATTCTGATTCAAGCAAAATCTAAAAAAAGAAAACATTAAACGAACAAAACAACTCAAGAAAAAGACAAAAAGAAAAATGAAATAATAGTTTGTTTCTCTCTTCTATACATACTAGGTATGAAAGTATTGTAAAGAAGATCAGAGATATTGAACATCAAACTTTACTTTTTATATGATAAGAAATTAAATCCAATCTTATTATTAAATTTTACTCACAATCAAAGTCAGTTATTTACCAAATAGATTGTTAATGTAGAGCAGTTTATAATGGTGAAACTAAAGTCGGACTGATCAATTGAATAAAAAAACATGATAAAGTAATAGAACAACATGAAGAAAAAAATAACCCTGATACTGTACAATATCATCACAAAACAAAATAGCAACGTTTTATTTGACCCAATGAAATGCTATCCAATTGGTCATGAAATGAATTACCAATATAGAAAAATAAGAGAATCAATATCCTCCTTCAGCCGTCAATCAACAAATACGACAACATAGACAATACTTAGAATAGTACAGGACGTCTCAAACTTATAAGACCGCCTCTTCCCCCGATCCCTTGGAGTTTTGAGAATAATAAAGATTTCTTCAACTAAAGAAGGCTTCATTCCCAATCTAATGTCATATCCATGGGCATAGAGTGTCAGTCTATCATGTCCCATATTGCTTTGAATTCGATCAATTAGCATCAATGAATAAATTCAAAAAACTTTTGAGTCTTCTCTGTCTCACATAATTATAAGACCCCCCGCCTTCTAAATATAAAAAATATTGAATTAATGCTGACTTTACCAATTCAAAAGAGGAGATATTCAGTTATATGCTGAAAGAAAAATACATTAGCGAAGACTAATTTAACTTTCCTATCGTTTAAGAAATTAAATGTTAGAAAAGTTAAATCTCAAAATTATCACTATATAGTTCGAGAGAAATAAATTTTCGCTTTTTTAATATAACAAAATTGAATTTAAAAATACCATTGGATAGAGAATCAAAAGCTGCATAGACCATATATATGTGTTGACACTAGACTTTGAAGTTAAAGCCTATGATTTCGCATAAAAAAGCATTTAACTTTTTTTTTCTAATGACATCAATAGAAAGAGCAAGAAATTCTGCACATTATAGGCTATTTTCCCCTTGTCAAACGTTAATTTCAAAAGACTTGAAAAAATGTCTTTTTGGATGTCGTCAACATATTTTATTTCCTCCAGCAGAATGAGACATCGCATTATCTACTTTGTGAGACCATGTTTTCAAATTTTTTCGAACTGATTTACGAAAAGGGCAAAATAACCTATCTTGTGCAGAATTTGACACTCTTTTTATTGATGTCCTTGGAAAAAAATTATATGCTTTTTTTTATATGAGATCAGAGGCTTTTCTTACGAAAACAGACATTTTTTACATAATCTTTAAGAAAAGAAATATTTCTAATATCTTTTCATAATTAGTAAGAACTTGCAAGTCTTTTGTCAAAACATATAGATATGGTTTATGCAAATTATAATTCTCTATCCAATGGTCTATTTTAAATTTAATTTTATTACATTGAAGAAGAGAAAATTTTTTTTTCTCGATTTGCCAATCTATTTTTTTTTCAGCATATAGCTGAATGTCTCCTCTTTCGAATGGATCCTTAAAAGAATCATTTGAGTTGGTAAAGTTAGCATTAATTCAATTTTTTTATATTTAGAAGGTGGGGGTCGTATAATTATGAGATAGAGAAGACTCAAAAGTATTTGAATTTATTCATTGATGCTAATTGATCGAATTCAAAGCAATATGGCACATGATAAACTGTTACTATGTGTCCATGAATATGGCATTAGATTGGGAGTGAAGCCTTCTTTAGTTGAATAAATCTTTACTATTCTCAAAACTCAATGGGAGGTCTTATAATTTTGAGACCCCTTGTATGCTACTTAAAGAATGTGAGAAGATCAACAATATAATACGTTCTAAATAGAAGAAATATGCTACAAATCAACCAAAAAAATAACATCCACGATTAATAAACAACAATGCGTAAGACAAAACGATAACATTGATACCGACAAAGAAAAGAAAAAATAGCCCAGATTTTACTGCTCTGTTCGTACCAGTAATATAATATATATATAGATAGAGGAAAAGAATGAATAAAGGTATGATAGATTTGGCAATTATATTAATTATTCTTGTGCTTGTTCACTTTATCATAAGTGTTCATATTTCCCAAAGAAGATCAATTTTATTCATCAAAAAGTTAAATAAAATTACTTTTAAATAAAGAAGAAAAGGAAGGGAGTCTTTCTACATGAACAATGTCTACAATATTCCTCGATCGTAAAAAGTAGGCATCGCAATTGAAGAAAAATAAAAATATTGGCAATATTATGGTTATGCATTCATATTCATCTCGATAACAAATATGGAGAAAGAAAATCATTAACCAGTAACTCTGAAGCAGTTACGGGTGATTGCTCTAAAGGGAGAGAGGGGCAGGGGGTATACACGTTGTTTGTTTACGTAAAGCTAATGCGCTCTTGTTTAGAAGAAGAAGAAAAAGAGCAAATTATACAGAGTTCGATTCATTACCAGTCCTGATACATGAAAGAGAGATTATATTGTTTATATTTCTGTTTACACGGTTTTGAATACGAGAAGTCTACTACGAGCTGATAAAAAAATGATTGCACAATGCTAAATCAATATTTTTAATATAGAAGAAACGCTGTCTTTTGCCGTGAGTGTTTTCATTTGGCCGTTCTGCAGCAAAAAATATATAATTAGCATTTGCACAGTAGAACACATATGTTAGCTGATGCTTATGACATTGTTAACAAACTTTTCATCAAACAAAACTACGAATCCAGTCTATCACACACCACTTTTGTATAGTTATTCTACTTCAAAACCTTATTACAAATACAGTAAACGCTCGAGAAACGAGTGAATCTATGTCTCATCTCTTAAACATTTGATTGACATAACGGAGAAAGAATTTTTCAATATGTATCGATCATATTTCTCACAAGAATGTGCTTCCAATGTCTGAATTGAAATAATGAATAATCGTATCAAGCATCAATATGTCATAAGATAGTTAATATTTTTTAGTGTATCATACATTCAACGCTTGCTCTCGCATTCATTCGTAATTGGATACAAAATGAAGGGTGACATACAACTGTTTCTCTCTTTCGTTCTGAATGTGGGATCGAAAAAAAGTATTTTTTCTTCGCTGAGACCGCCGAATTTTGTTGCTGCTCCACTAATAAAATGCGATAGGAACACAGGTGATGTTTTTTTTCTCTTGTAACTACGCTACTACTGTTCTGCTTGAATTGACGTAGCGATTTGCTGTATAAAAGCCAGTGTCTCTCGTAGTGTATTTTCACTGTCGATTTCGTTTCACGTAAGTAAGTAGCTACTATCAACCATAAGGAGAATTACTCTTTGAAAGCAAATTTTCAGAGCTTTTTATTTGGACAGTCAGAAGTTATGAGGCAGACACAGCTAAGGAGGCATACAGGGCAACAATATAAAATCTCGCTTAATGAATTAAGATGATATTTTTCGGTATGTTATTAAAATTTTCGTGATCCTCTATAGATTCACGAGTTTTATTTCTGTATCAGATAGAGCAGTCAAAAACCAAACAATCAGAGAAGAGACAAGAAATAATAAAAGATTTTAAGAAAATTACAAATTACTTTTGCAGCTTATTGGTTATTTGTCTCTTTTGTGTATATTAATAGGGTTCAATCATGTCGGGAACAAAAGAATGGCCAGAAGTGGTGGGAAAAACATTTGACCAAGCGTCCGAAGCTATTTTAGCATTTGATAGTAGTAAGCATAATCAGTAATTAATAATCTTCTTCTTGCTAAAATCGATTCTTTTCGTTATCTTTTCCGTCATAGAGTTACATCCCTATAATGCAAGAAATGGTATGGAAAATTACATGTTTGATCCACTACGTGTCTCGTGTGTTACAGATGATGACGATATTGTAACCAAAGTTCCGAGTTATAATTATTCAAAATAATTTGACCATTTTTTATTATTTCATGCTTAGTGACAGAATAAAATGGTACCTATTATATATAGTGCTAATATTTAAGAAAGTTTTCATAATACTAACCCTAAACTAATACATTGCCTCGAAATATATTTTAGCCATAATAATCTTTTTTTTTAAGTAGACAAGAACAATAATAAAAAATAAACATAATAAAAAGTAACAGAAGGCACTCATTTGTCGGTATTGGAGGGTGTGGGTATACGTGTGACTTGGGTTCTAGTCGATTGTTGGACCACAATCACATTCACATTCAAATCATCTTGTTAGGTTAATGTTTAAGCCCAACTGTATGTGATTTTCTTGTAACATCATTATTTGATGAAAGTGTTCAAGTATGGAAATATTGAAAATGAAAATGTAACATTCATTGCTGAACGATAATTTCAAACAGTAATTTAGAATTTGCTATATTATTGAAAATAGCTATTACTAGTAGAATCAAAATCAATACATGTCTTGCTAATCCTAATTTTCCATTTCTGTTTGTTTTGGTGAACAATCGAAAGATTTACAAATATAAATTGTTCCGAAAATTCAAATGGTATGAAAATGCATTTATTTTTTGTTGGAAAAATTCTGTGAATATTCTCGTAAGATTTTTAACATCACAAATTTTGTCAAAGTCGAGCTTTTCTGAATTTTGATGGTGCCATTGAATGTCCGGGCAAGCGAAGAATTTGCAGAGAAAGTTTTGTAAAGTTCATATAAGATATTTTAAATGTTAATAAATTGATTTCATTTTCTTACAAAATAAACATTAGATTTCATAGATCTAACGTACGATGCAAAAGTAATGGCACAAAATGTTGACCTTTGCTTCGCTTTGATAAAAGGTTACTGAAAGAGAACTTTTTTTTTACCCAAAGACAGAACTTTCCCTCCTCTTTTGAATCATATATAACTTATTTTTATAAGAAGTTTATCAACGGAGCACCACAATGAAAAAGAGAGACACCCTCAAAATAAATCCGCACCTTTTCTATAGAATTACAGTGTAACATATGGATCATTATATCTCTATCACAAATATATTATAAAACAGAAATTTGTTTTTATCAATTGATAAGAAATTTTCTCTTCTTTCGAATGATGTATGATTTATATTTGTTTCATATTCATAAATGAAATGAGACGAAGAATTAATAACGGGTGGCGCAGAATAAATTATACTGTTTGTATTTTGCATATTTTCTCTTTATTCTTCATATGATTCAAATACTTTTTTTAATCAAAAGATAGCGCTTGAAATTCTCTACAAAACTGGAGGTGATTGAGCTCGAAAATTATTCTAGATATATTTGAAAAAGAATAAAAAGTGAAGATATATAAAAAACTGTAAAAATTAACCGATTGGGCATAATGAATGGCAGTGTTTTGCATCCAATTTTTTCATCACTTACTTCGCTCAATTAAAAGAACAAAATATACCAAAAGATGCAGTATGAAAAGCTCTTCAATTTATACACGACCAATTATTTTATAGTTGTAATTTTTTTTTTCAAAACGAACAAAGTTTTGAGTGAACAAATTTCGACCGTTCAAGAACGGCGTACACTTTTGGTACAAGCTGAATTCGTTTTTTTCTATTTCATCTTTTCATAATTGTTCTTTGTAAATTGTAGAGCTTTTCACGCTGCATCTTGTGGTATATTTTATTCTTTTGAAAAAAAAACATATCAAGCAATGACACGATGAAATTAAAAAAATGAACTCAGCTTGTATCAGAAAAACATTCCATTTTCGCACGGTCGAAATCTGATCGCTCAAAATTTCGTCCATTTTGAAAACAAAAAATGCAACACTAAAATAGTCGGTCATGTGTAAATTGAAGAGCTTTTCACGCTGCATCTTTTGGTATATTTTGTTTTTTTAATAGGGCGAAATGATATAAATGGGACGCAAAGTGTGGCCGTTCGTTGTGCACAGTCGGTTAATTTTTCCAGGTTTTTTCATGTTTTTATTTTTTATCTTTTTTCGTATATATCTAGAATAGTTTTTGGGTTCAGTCATTTCCATTTTCGTAGAGAATTTCAAGCGCTATCTTTTGATAAAAAAAGTGTTTGAATCATATGAAGAAAAATGGGAAAATATTCAAAATACAAACAGTATAATTTATTCTGCGCCACCCGTTAGATATACTCGTATAATAAATTTGTAATTTTTGTACGAATTAGTCAAAAATGTCTGGTAGATGGTAGTTAATTATAATTAAGTGTCGTTTTACAAGCAGTTTTTAGCAGGCTCATGAAAGTGGAAGCGACTACCATTTCACAAGAGCTTTTTAATGAGCACACAACAATCGAATTAATTGTTGTATAAAAAGATGTTTTTGACTAATTTATATAAATATTACAAAAATTTATTATGCGAGTATTTCTCTTCATTCTTCGTCTCATTTCATTTATAAATACGTGACAAATATATATCATACACCATTCGAAAGAGGAGAAGATTTCCTATCAGCCGATAAAAAGATTTTCTTTTCAAAATATATTTATCGAAGAGTTATTCAACATATACAAGAATCAACACGATACGCCGTTTTTCTAAATTTCACGAAACGTGCGATTTTGTTTTGAAGGTGTCTCTCTTTTTCATTGTGTCGCTCCGTTTATAAAAGTCTTATAAAAATAAGTTATATTTGATTTGAAAGAGGAAAAATAGCTCTATCTTCTACCAGCAAAAGTTTTCGTTGAGCACCCTTCTGTCAAAGAAAAGTAAGAGTCAACATTTTGTGCCATTACTTTTGCATCGTACGTTGTTTTGATTTGAAGTTCGCTCTTTGCAATAAGATTACATATAAAATTTGTTTGTAACAAACAAAGAAAAAGAAATCATACAGTTTCATCTTTATTTGAAAAGTATGAACAATATTCTGAATGAACTCAAAACTTTGTGATATATACACTACAAAGATTAATATTGAATAAATCATTGGTCATTCAACTACTTTTATGGAAAAAGTCTTTTTCTATGAGCTTTGATCAAAAATGTTTGCCGACTTTCTCTGGAACGGCAGAAATTTAGAGCATTAGCTAGGGACGTCTAGTAAAGGTCTTATTAGTGATTTCATTCTTTTGGATTTATATTTTGTTCATAAGTAGAGGATATTCAAATTAGTACGATCTCCAAAAGATTCTTCTTTTTATTGAGATTTGACCGAGATATAAATACTTCAAAACATCAAAAATTCTTATGTTTTGAAACATTGATATTTCGATCAAATATGAGTTCAAAAAACAAAAATCACTGATGGAACTCTCAATAGACATTCCTAGAAAATTTTTCTAATCTTCGCTACTTCAAACAACATTCGGTAAGTTGTTTTTAGAAAAGCGTTTGAATACCTGTTAAGTGATTAATAATATCAATGGTAACGTGTTCATCCATCGTTCCTATTTTTGCAATTTTCAAGAAAACTTGAAAAGACTTCTGGATAGAAGATAAAAAAAACAATGTTTTTGATGTTAACTTGATACGCCCAATTATAGTTAGTGAAAATCCTTCGTTTTCATTTCAACTACTTTCAAATTGTTTAAAAGTTGATTGATCAAAATAATCTCTTGCCTTTGCATTGAATGTCGTAACTAAGAACATGAATTTTTAAACTAAAGTTACCAGAATTTTTTGAGAGGTTTTAAAAGATTTTGTTGTATTCATCGCTATCAACTTCATTACTTACTACAATGAGAATTTGTTAAACTATATCCTGCGAATATCAACCTGTAAATATGCGCACTTTTAGACTGCCGCAAATAATTCAAGCCAAGATGCTATACTCGAGATGATGATGATGTGGACAGAGATAGCCTTCAAATAACAAAAGAACACAATGACGACGTTGATGCTTGCGAAAGTTGATAAAGGTCTTAACGAGTGACATTTTCTCCCTGCGTTATCAGTAACAAGTTGATATCTAAGTAGACGAATTGTTGACAATACAACTCTTTCTCTATTACACAAGCATATGAGAATATTTTAGAGGTTCTCACCTGTCGATAACTATGCCATTACTAAAGATCAAAACGAAGGTAATGCACACTCACTTTTTACAACTTCTAACTGATTTATCTGCTGAATGGTAGGAGAGAAAAATTTGCAGCTTTCATCGAATATGTACGTAAACATATTTCTATTAGACTTGTAATTTAGTCGAAACCATCTAACTGTGCGGATTTTGTGGGCAAAATATTGATCGATAACGAATAAAGAAAAAAGGCCTTATTCCCTAAGTAGATACAAGGGAAGTAATAAATCCTTGGAACTGTTCCATGTTAACAAGCGATCTATTGGCAAAACGTTACGTAACGTACTGAGATGAATTTTCAAACAAAAAATAGTACGATTAAATATATGGATTCAGAACGTCGAATACCATTGTGTTAATGTCAAGGGGGAAAAAGCGAGACTCCTAGAGTGCGTACTCCAACTGTACTCCAGCTGTACTCCAGCTGTACTCCACCCGTACTCCAACTGTACTCCACCCGTACTCCAACTGTACTCCACCCGTACTCCAACTGTACTCCACCCGTACTCCAGCTGTACTCCAGTTGTACTCCACCCGTACTCCAG